AGCCACAGCTCGTTGCCTAATTTTCATTTCCTTGGATTTTAAGTCAATTTGATAGTTTTCTCTGATTTTGTTAACTTTTTGATGTAATTTTCTGGCCGTTTCATACTTTTGCCAGTCTTTTTCTCCTTTCAATTTTGAGCTTGGATTTAACATTATGTATTTAACTTGGTTTTGTACGTTCTCCGTCCAGGATGCCAGCCATGTTACTTTGTCATCATGACGGACTTCTTTCCACTTATGACCGGGCGGTGCCACCGGTATAGTTGACTCTTTGCTACAGTTAATTATTACATCTTCAGCTTCAACACGCCTCTTGAGTTTTCCCATTTTTGGATGTTCACCTCGACCTATACCAAAATCATTTCGTTAGTTCAATAACAGATGTAATTTTTGACACGTGTAAAAAGTGAAAGTGAAACCAAATATTGTAATATGGAATAGGGAAACTCTACATACGAATACCTCAATATAAAACATTTTGTTTGGCTTACCCCTAAAAAGTCCTGGTGGTTCAATTTTGAAGTTGCCAATTTTTTCCTTGTGTCCATCAATGGTACAAAAACCAAATTCTTTTAATAACGCCTCGTTCTTTTCTTTTAACGCTAATTTTTCTTCCTTTGTTCTGTTCCTATTTTTCTCAGCGAGATCCATAAAATACGCATGTAACTGCTTGAAATTACACTTGGATAGATCAGTTATAACTTTTCTTTCTTCATCAGTCATATCTGAAAATCAGAAACGTGTCAATTAATTAAGCAGTTATATGATTACCTAGAATATAAGTGAAAATAGTAATAATTTGAAAGTCGCATAATGTTAGAAATCAGTTATGACTACTACAAAAAAACGTTACTTACAGGCTCTCCAATCCTCGAAGAAATTTTTATTAAAAATTTTCTTCTTTGTATAATCGTCATCCAACATCTTTGCATAAAGTCCAGCAATCTGTTCAGCATCTTCACTAAGTTTCATTGTTTGCCCATTATAGAAAAATTTCACATTTTTAGGTAGTGGCTCATAAGGCGCAGCGAAAACAGGGCCTTTATGTTCAAGAAAACTCCATTTAACTCCATTTTTTTGTTTCTCTTCCGACCTCGAAATAATTAAATTGTGGATAAACGATGAGTTTTTGAAGTGAAGGATATATAACGATAAATCAGTTAAATACATCTACGATTGGCTGCTAAATGGGAGTATAATATATAATAATATAATAATAGGGGCTCACTTGGAGAGTAGAAGTATTTATAGTATTTCTAGAAGATATTAACAGTTGAAAATCGAATTTTAATTTTGTGATTAAGCATTATTTTGAAATTGTTCCCTGTTTAATTGAGAGTATATTGGAATACTTAATCATTCAAATAGAAAAATTACAATATTTGCTTCAAATTGCGAAAAATTTTGATATGTAAAAGTTCTCTTGTACAATTTTTTGATGAAGTCATAGCAGCAATGATGTTTTTTGTCATTAACAGATAGTTACAGGTATCTACCTGCCTTTGTCAGTAATAACCATAATTTGTCAAATTGTGACTTACTTTGAAGCTCCTTTCACGTATTTGCGAATATGCGATTAGTTCTCGGGAAATGTCACAGTAACATAGAAGCAGAACTTACACCAACAAAGTGCTAGAGACACTGATTGAGATTGGATCCAGGAAGATAGTGGATGACAATTTATGTTCGGGTTCCACACACAGAGGAACAAGCATTTGACATAATTGCAGTAGAGCCTTCCAGGGGCACTTAGAGCATTGCACAACAACTGACACTTTCCCAGGCACCAAATAAATACCGATAAAGGGCTACATTCCTACCACGTATGTAATATAAACACAGCACAAAGACACATTAAACCAATGGATTACTGAACACCGGTACAAATTGAGCAGGTGTTAATTAACCGAGTACCAGAAGCTGCTCGAGAAGAGTGGATAATAAGGTGATTACACAGACACTAACTTTTTTGGAGTTAAAGACTCAAATGCATGTTTATGTTGTTCTAATTATGGTTTGCCAGATATCGATCACGGCGGTTCCCTGTGGGACACCCTGTATAGTATTTTCCATATGTTCCACACAAATATGATTTGGAACTGTATTGCACACTTTACAACGACCGTTAATTACACACTTTATTACAAAAAAAAACGATTCTTTGATATCTGTTATTAATTCGAGAAACGATTGCAGGACATTATGGCTCACTACCTCTTCTAAAATTTAAAATATCAAATAAATTAAACGTCTATAACGTGTCCCAAGTACAATAAAATAAACAGTTTTATTACAAAATAATTTAAAATTTTGCGAACAGAAAAGAAGAACGATGTACTTGATTGATAAAAAATAGGAGTGTTTTTGCATTATTTGATGCCTAAACGGATTAAACTTGAATGTCAATGTTTATAACCCTATGTGAGTAAGTGAAAGCAGAGATTAGTAGATTAAGTCTACTAATACGCATTTTAATCAATGTATAACGTTAATAAATCATTAATCATGTTTAATCTCACAATCAGGTTTTTCACAGGGTAGGTACTTAAATCTAGAGTTGAGCAACAAATCACTGCCTGTGCTTTTTCACAGTGATTAATAAATCGCAATTACAATCTCTGATAAACGTAAAAATAAACTGTGGTCTAAAACTTGATTGACCCAAAAGTGATATTAAAGAGCGACTTATATTTTCACTGCTAACGCTGCTATTGCGAGTTGGGTGTAGTGATCATATGTTGCACATGTGGCCCGTCGTTTATTTTTAAAATAATTTTCTGGGAATACACTTACTGTTTTATTAATTTTTGCGAATTGAAATTATTTATTATGTATTGTGCTAAGCGACGGAAAATTATTTCTTTGTGAAATTGATTTTCTGCATTAGATGATAATTTTGCAAAATGCAATTTATGCAAAGCAAAATTATCTTACAAAACAAGAAGGTACGTCGAATTTGAAACGGCGCATGTAATGCAACAACGCACAATATCAATAAATTCTAAAAATTTTCGATAAGAGTAGCGCAGTAATATTTTTGATCCTATTTTCACTCAAATGTTTTTTTCAGATCAAAAATTAAAATCAAATACATATAGCTTGTTCACAAAGCATTAAAAGGATGTTAATACGCTACTTGTTCTGTGTAAAACAATAGCTGTTTGTTTCCATTTTTATTTTCTTCCACAATGTTTTTAGAACTTTTAGAGTACCCAGATTTACAAAATGTGTAGCTAGGTGCAGAGGTTGTTATTTTTTAGTGTCCTTAAAATCATTTGTACTTTAAGTATAAAATAGTATTTGTTGATACCTGGATAAGATTATTTATTTAAAAAATATGAATTACAAATATTTTAAAATTGTTTCTGCAAGTGACGCACGATTGCCTTATGACGTTGCTATATCACGAAAATAGCAACCACAATAAAAAAATCACTTTCACAGTTTTAATAGTGGTTTTAAAATGACGCTCATCTCTATTTAAGTCTAAAGGGTGTTTGTTTAGAGGTATAGAACATTAAACTGATTGAAGTACTGACTTGATTGGAATGGCAGTTGTATGCTATTGTTGCTTAACTATGATTTGGGGTATTCGGACGCCGCGGCTGGCTCGAATGACGAGCAACCTGGAAGTCTAATTTTTGACCACTTCCAAACTTCTTCAAGACCACTAAACACAAAAAAGTGGGTTTTCTGGATATAACGGAGCCTCAATAATGGCTTCTGGATTTTCGTACGTCCAATCCCGACAATTTTGTTTATTGACGCAACCAATGAGCCAAAAACGATTATGTCGACCGTAAAATGAACGTAGCGCACGGCGAGTTTAGCGAACTGAACAGCGATTTTCGAAATCGAAATTGCCGAATTTGGAGCTACAAAAGTCCAAAAGCCCTGATTGAGGCGCCGTTATATCCAGAAATACTCACTGTTCGATGTGCTTTTTTATGGTCCAGTGGAATTAAAGTGGTCGAAAATTGGACGTCTCGTGGATTATTCTTCATTCGGGCCAGCCGCGACGTCCATATGGCCCAAATCACATTTAAGCTATAATGGCATAGAATTGTCTTTTCAATAAAGACAATTCCAGGACCTTAACATTAATTTTATTACTTTTATTTCAATTTAGAGTTCTATAGTTCTAAAAAAACTCTTTACAAAAACGCGTTGGATGAGCGGTTGAATGTCATAATAAACGCATGCTTTTTGTAAAAAAAACGATTTGCTGTATCACCCAAATTTTTATATACCGTTTCTTAGCAGCGGATTGTCCTGTGTCTTTGCCCTCATGAACCTGAAAATGGACACACATTTTTATGTATAAATCGAGCACGAGAACAAATAAGTCAAAATTATACAAAACAAATTTTAATTTAATTTTATTCTTTAATTCTTAAATTGAAATGAAGTTCATCTTTCGAATAACTAATAATAATGGTTGGTCAGCAATGACCAGTTTTAATAAAACTACTTAAAAAACTAATAATAAAACATTAAAAGGCTTAAAAATACACATTTGAGCAAATCCCGATATAAGTTTTTTTAGAAATAGCTATTAAATAAACCGATACGAAACACAAACCAAAGTAAGCCGTTAAATTTTTCAAATTAACTTACCGTTTTTCTTTTTCGAATATTATAATCATGCGCGACCTTCTCCATGTTAGAGGCAACGCCTTGTTTTATCTGAGGTCGAAATTATATATGTAATAACATATAGATAATTCGTTTTTTTTTTCTTTTATAGAAATCTAATCAAATAGTTATCACTAATAAACTAATCCTTAGGAATTCAAACAAAGGCATTTCCAAGAAAACATTATCTATGATCAGTCATTCTTTCGCCCCACGAAAATATGCAATCTGAGATGACCGAAGGCAGAGAATATATGCATATACATATTCCTAAAAAAGCATAAAATCAACAACCAATTGAATGTTCTCCGGTTCTTCCTATATAATCCATGCTTCATTATGTGAATTAATTTATTTGTGATTCCAACTCACCTCAATACCTTTATTAGAGCAATCATGGCTCAAATTCTTTTCATATTTGGGCAAGGTCTATTTACCCCTGAATTTACGGGACTTATTTCTGAGACCTCTATGCAAATTGTTTTGCATATTTAATCCATGTTGAGCATATTTCCGAAAAAACTAATACTATACTATTTATGTAAATTTTCGGACATTTTCGAGGAAAGCATTGGGTAGTACTTTTGTGTACTTCTTCTATTGTACTTTTTTTAATATTATACTTTTAGAATTATTCTCCTTATTTACCTACATCTCAGCAGATCAGCAGAAGATGATATTTAAATCAATTGATAAAGTAAGAAGAAACCTGATACAGCGTACCTAATTGTCGAATAGGTTTTCAATTTTGATTATATTCTGGGGTGGCCAGACTAAATTTCAAATAAACTTATTAAATGAACCAAGCTGCGTGGACTTTAAATGTACCTTTGGATTGTTTAATGAAATATTAAGTCGAATTTTCTTGGTTTTCCGTAAATCCGATCAGATCAGCTGCAAAGATAAAAATAATAAAACTTCAGTTTATCAACAAAATAGTTTATTTACAAAACTGGGTTTTCAGCAATTAATTTCTTTTATTTTATTTTAACGTTGTTTTGCCCATTCTAGTTGAAATGGACAATTTCCCCAAAGGTTTACCGGAATAAAAGTTGTCTTTTTGAAGTGATAACTCCTTATGGCACGTTGTGAATGGATTGAAATGCGTTACTGCGTTATTATGTATAGATAAACCCAAGAAGTTACACAGTTCTCTCTCGCACTCAGCGCGTGAGTTTTCTCTCTCCGGAGATATAAAATAACTAAATTCGACTATTTGCTAACTTTTATAGAGTATCATATGTGGGTCCTAGACTAGCCCTGGGTAACACTGTGTTGAGTTGCGCTATTGAGTTGTTGCAGCTCTCTGAGTTAATTAGTTATAACTCATCGGTTAATGAGTTATATTCATTTGTTAAAACTTGAGACCCGAGACTGAAATGTTCACACCTAAAAAAAGGTCATCAATATTTTACTACTTTGTTCAAACAACTAAAAGAAGTCATCTAGATTTTCCCTGCAACCAAAGAAAGTCGACAAATTTTCTTGTAAAATCGATTTCTTAATGTTTTTGCATAAAAGATTCAGTTTGCCAGTATTTGACAGTAAAACGTTAGGAAAAACGCGGTTTTTCTGTTTAGAAGCAGTGTTGTTTAGAAATTGACCTAAAAGTGAAGAAACTCCATTTCCCAAGAGTTTTCCAAATAAATGATTATAAACTTCCTCTTTCTCAGTTCGGGGAAATATTTTTGAAAAAAAACCTCGAAATAATTATTAGGGTTTTGTTCATAATTCGAAGCTGCAAAAAGTTTTTCAAACATTTTTGAAAAGCGGTTAAGAAGGCAAGTGTTCCAATAAAATTTATCTCATAATTTTTTACAGAAAATACTTGAAGATTGCCATTATTTACTTAATTAATAATTGTTTAATAGAAGCTTTGTTAAAACTGGAATGAGCTGAAAATTTAAAGGAACTTTAGAAATCTTCAGAGCGATGAGGGCGACGAATTTTCCCAATAATTTTTTGTAAACTTTTGCTCTAGTCGTTTTTTCATGATGATCCTTTGTCATGATGAAATTACTTTCAGTAAAAAACTGAATAAAATTATTTGGTTTTTGTGTCAAATTCGAAGCTGAAAAGGATTTTCTAAAGCTCCCTGCAAACCGATGAATGACGCTAATTGTCTAGCAAAATTAATTTTATCATTTTTGGCTGAAAACCCCCCATTATTGTCAGAAAAGAGGAAAATTTAGTTTTGTGATCGGTTTTGGAAAAAACCTTAATGACTTTCGGGAAAAAACGGGAGAAATTTATTTTCGTTTTTGTCCCGAATTAAATTTTGTCCCCAGTGAAAAAAGTTTTTGTAAAATTTTTACAAAGCTATAAATTTATTTTGTAATTTTCGCTGTTAAAAAACTACAAAATAGAACGGTTTGAGTAGAAAGTAAAGCAAAAAAAAATCGGTCAAAACTAAAAAAACACATTTTTTAACAAATTTTACATCTTACAGTCTTCAGAGGAATGGAGGTGACGAGATTTTCAAATAATCTGTTATAAACTTTCGCTTATTCTGTTCGTTTTTTGATAGAAAATTATTTGATTTTTGTGTGAGACTTTCAAGTGAAACTGTAGAAAATTGCACCTTTATAAGATAGAGTAACTTGCCTAAAATTGTTAAATTCTGAAATTTGAAGACATTTTAAAAATATTATTTATAAATGGCTTTTAAAATTTTTTAAAAATAAGTCATCAACATTTTCCCAGCAACGGAACTGAGTTACTGCGCTGTTGTATTGGGTTGGCGCACCAATTCATATGCGTAGCACTGCGCCAACTCCTAAAAATTCTCTGGGTTACTCAGGCCTATCATAGACCTCGGATTAAACAGATGCATTTGTTTTTCGATACATGTGAAAGCTGATTTACAGGATCGGTAATCAATTTAATATGTATGAGTAACACCAACAAAAAATAGGAGGAAAACAGTAGCCATGAATGTATTTAGTGAACTTGTTTAGTTTGTAATAAGCGGTAAACGAATGTCACTAAAATAACAATATTGAAATTTAAAATTGAAAAAAAACTGTGCGTCACGGGACCCCTATAGAAGTGATAACTTCAAATTATATTTAAAGGAACGATTAAATATTGAGCTTGTTTAACGCAATAATTCTTATTAGTCTAATAATTTATAAATAGATCAGGAAAAGGTAAAATAAAATTTAATTTCCTTTTGAATGCAAATTTTTGTATTTATTTTATTTACAACGTTGAACATTCTTTGCTAGCTGCAGTTGACTCACTGGTAGTTACGTTGTCATTTTCTAATCCTATAAAAGTGACTATTGGTTTATGATAACTGTAATAACAATCGAATTGTGACAGTCGATTTTATCTTGCACAATTGAAGCTTGATCTGGATTATTTCTCATGTTTAATTGTAACTTTGATTCAAGAAATGGCATTAAATATTGCGCTCTATCAGCAGAGATTAGTAGACTACTAATCTCTGCTATCAGAAGAAAAATCGACATTAAAATATTCACTTAGCATGAATGGTAGTTTTGGCCAAAGTAACCTGCCAGTAAGTAAGTAAGTTAAGGCCAACTAAACTGGAGCCTTAAGGTCGGTCGCCCTTTGGATGCGTTTTCGTCCGAACTGCGTTAGTCAGAAATCGCGCGAAAAGGAGCGAATGATCCAATTTTATTGCAACATGCCAGACCGAGTTTCACAATTCCTTTCTAAGTACAGTTATCATAACCCAATTGTCAGTTTCGTAGAATTAGAAAATGATAACGTAAATACCAGTGAGTCAACTGCAACATTGAAAAATGTTTAATGTTCTAAATAAGATACAAATTTTGCATTTAAAATGAAATAAAATTTCATTTTACCTATTACGATCCATTTATAAATTATTAGACCAACAAGAACAATATAATTATAAACTGGTATTGCTATTATGCGCTAAACAAGTTATCACTTGTGTCGAGCGTTCCGTGACGCACACCTTTTTTTGAACCTATTGAACCACCTATTGAAGTTATTTGCTTTTCGATTGTTAATTGAATAAGTAGTTACTAAGATTTGAAATTTAATGGAGTTCATATATTGCTTTAGATTAGCTCGCTGATTATACAGTCACACAAACCAATTTTTTTTTTGATTTGATATTCAGACTCATATCCTGTAGTAGCTGTAGATAGTATTTTGTCCTGTTGAATCCAAATCCGTAGTCAGTTGGACAGTTGACAGTATTTAAAATAAGATGCTACAAAATAGCCATATGAAAACATTAAATTGACAATATTTCGAAAACTACACACTTTTGGAATAGACAACTTAAGGTAAACACAACAAACAACAATAAGAAAAAATTATCAAAAAGGGGGCGTTCCACTTGAAAAAATTCATTTTGGGCGGTTTTCTCATCGTCATTTTTAAATTAATTTTTTTAACACTGTATTAACAACTTCTTCTTATTCAACAAAAAATTCGACTCAAATTAAGGAATATATATTTAGAATTTGGAGTCAAATTCAAAAATATAATGTCCATTTGTCAACACTCATCTGTCACAGTTTTTGACTTATGCCATTTTTTGCAAAAAACAGAGTAGCAGAAGTTCATTAACAAATTCATACTTCCTGAACCATTGCAAATAAATAAATCGGCATTATTTAATTCAATTCCCAAAGGTTTGGCAGACATTCTGCATCGATTCTGACTGACATTCTGTTATGTTTCATGCTTCTGCTGTGATTTTCCAAAGTTGACAATAAAAAAATGACAAAAACTTCACTTTTTTAAATGGCAACTCCAAAAATAAATGTAAAATTGAATTTTAATTCTATTTTTATTAACATTGTGTACGTTCATCTAAAGTCGTTTATGCGTCATTGGCATTTTTTGGATAAAATATTACTGTTTTCTTATCAAGCATTTTTTGATTGTTAATTTTAAAACACCGCAACAGACGCACACAACAACAACGGACCTTGAAAATTGAATAAAAAAATGGGAATGGTTCAGGAGTTACGATTTTTCAAATAAACAGTTTTTTTCCAATAAATGTGACGTCAAAAACTATGACAGATAAGTAT